ACCAGTAACCAATGTATATCTATATGTAAAGTTGAATTAACCCAATAAATGTATCCACAAAAATATTGCAAAGACCAACACAAAATACTGGCACGTACAACTGGTAAGAATAGACTACGGAGCACACTTCGGTTGAATTTCTTTAATACAGCTAATTGTTCGAGTTGTCTTAAATAAAATACATTCACAACTCGAATTAAAAAAAATTAAATTTTGTTATTTTGTTTTGTATTTTAGATTCTGAGTGGAGCGATGAATGTATGGTTTTTCAATGATGTGTGAATTTTTTTTTTTAGTTTTTTTTTTTACCTTTTGGATCATTAAAAATGGTATTTCGTAAAAAAAAATAATCTAGTTGGTTCTTTGAAGTTACAGATCAAAAATTTCCAATACTTCAAAAATAATCTGATGACTCCCCCTCTAAGAAAAACAAGTAACGAAAAAAGCAGAATCAGTTTTACACAAAATCAATTTTTTGTTGTTGTTGGAACTCAAAAATGAATAACTGTAGAAACTTGAATTTTTCATTAATTATTTATACATACGAATATTTTCTATAAATGATTTAATTTTTAAAATATTTTGTCTTTTTTGTGTTATAAACATAAATTTTAAATTTTCTTCTTTTTTTAGTATGATTTCAATTTATCTATGATAGTATGATACAACACTAATTTGTAAGTAAAAATTCTGAGACATGTAGAACAAAGTTTATCATAAGCTGTAGGTACTTACTGCAAAATTATATATTTTACTCAAGTACAGTCAGCGCACTCAGCATCTAATATTATACTTCCATTTTTTTTTTTTTGTAAAATGTAATTTTCAAATTATTTAGTGTTCAATGTTCATGAATAGGCAATTATAGAATATCCTTAGGAATATAATATACCTAATATTATATGTATACATCAGCACTAGCCATTTTCGTTAAGTATCGTTTTTCATATGCAATGATTTATCATTATTAACAAGGTCCGTAATGGGATAGCGGCCACTGTAATAGTGGCTTTCTCAATAATGAGGTATAACTACACAACTAATAGCCTTACCAAGTTTTTTTTTTTAACATGATGTTTGATTTATATAATAATATGTTGCTTATAAAATACAGAAGAACCTGACAATTTTCAAACTAATTTTCATAATTTGTGATGCACCATATTATTATTTTTCCGTATACCAGATACGAGCTTAGCTCAGTTAGTATACGTTTCAGCCCTTAATATTATTATTGTTATTATTGTATTATAATTGAATTACGCTGAAATAAAAAAAATTTAATTAGTAATTGTAATTTTTTAGGACCTTACAGTTTGACATTTTTTTCTACATTCATAATACTTGGCAACATGACAGAACGCTTTCAATTGACTATGACTTTCATGACAGAAAGCAATATCAAGGAGATATTTAGAAACTCATCGACGGCGTGGTTAATACATATAGTGGGTACCATTACTCGAAATTATTGCTCGAAAGTTATTATTATGGATATAAATTAAATATTAAAGTTATAATGCGTAAGTACTAATTATATACATACTTCGTGTACATTGTAAAACATTTCGTCTACAGCTGTGTAGTTTCTGCTTGAAGTAAAGTTTGTCATTATATTATAACAAAACATTTCATAAAATAATAATATCAATGATAGAAAATGGAAGTTTAAAAATAAAATATATTAATGGAAGAGTTGTAATAAACCAAAACAAATCACATTCTGCGCTTTTGAAAACTATTGAGAATTAAAAATGTTGACCTTATGATTACACCAAATAGATTCACTTTCCTATCGAATAAGATAATGTTGAAGAAAATCAAAGCAGTATTTCTGTCCCAAACGGTGATAACAGATACAAAAAAAGTGTAATAAACAAAAAATTAAAAAAAAAAACACACATCTTTGTAAAATCAATACATTATTAATCGCTCCACTCAGAATCTAATATATAATGATTTGATTTACCATCTTATATATAAATATATATAAGTGCAATAATTTAATCAAAAATATTTTTAGGTATTCCAGGATTAATATATAATATTTTATATTAAGGTTACTAAAGTTTTTAATCGATTATAAATAAAAGTACTTTATTTGACGACTCATAGATGTGTATGGAAATTATGTATAACTATCCCGTGTTTGTGAATTTATTTTAGACATTCGGTGATCGATACATATATAGTATATGTGCTTGTGTGTATTATAATTTATAAGTTAAAAGTTATGTTGATACATTAAACTCATGTCGTTAGTAACATATTATTCATGTTAATGTTTTTATGCAATAGAATATAAATGACATAACAGTTTGTTCGTTATCGTTAAGTTCGATCAATTTAACCAAATAGGTTAATCTGTGTTGTACTTGATGTAATATAATGTATGCTGTGCAGAATACGCAATATGTTTAACATAAAAGACGATGAGGAAATATTGTCATCAGTCCCAAAAAACCTAAGATTTTTCAAAATGTATTTTGACTTTTTTTTACATAGACATCTTAATCGTCATATAATTTTTTAATCTATAGTTTTATAAATGTTTAATTAAACGGTTTTTCAAGAATATTTGACAAGGTTAATATTTATTAAAAAAGTAATTTTACATATTATGTTAATAAATACAATTTTTAAATGGTAGTGTTATAAAGTTCAGTAATTTATCATTTTACGATTTTTATTTATTATACTAGCTTTCTTTATTTTTTAACAACTCTATACTATATAGATATTAGATATTATTTGTATAAAAATTGTCTTCACTAAAAAAAATAACAATTGTTGTTTCAATCAGTGAGTGTAGTAAATTCATATTTATAAATTGTTATTGCCTTAGGGCCGTTTTTACAATATCCGGTTAAAATTAACCGACACTTAACCGGCCGAATTATGCAGGTAATAAAATCTGTTATCAGTCGGTTAGCGTTAACCAACACTTTACCGGACATTGTAAGAATATAATATAATATTACCTACGATTTCTGATAAACTTTACACTATAAAACATGGTTCCCAGTATTAGCCAATGTGAATCTTCAAAAATAATAAAATTTGTCTATTCTTAACACTGCAGGTTAATTACCAATTGTTAATAATTATGAATTATTCATTTTATTTCTGATAGGTTAATTTTAACTGCACAATTACATCAAACATTACACCTGAAATATTGAAACGAAGTTTTTTTTTTTTTTTATCGATGTGTGAGTGTGGGTTTGCCATCATAAGCCATTAAGCAGAAACAACATTTTTGTCAAAAACGAGTTTTTGGTGTACATCAATAGATATTTAACTCTCTACTGATTCCCGTAATAAAAATTAAGGTTTTTCTCAATACAAACTCAATACTCATATTATAAATTTATAAGAAAATAACAAATAAGATGGTATGTACAAGAATTTATAAAGATAAGAAGCAAATAAGCAGTTTGTCCAACAAAATTCAAACATTTGGTTTAAACTTAACATTAGTCCCGAAACATAATTAATATTTATACTATTATAGTGTGTGGGGACCTTAATGCTACAAATAACTTGATAAGGAATAATATAATCTGAATTAAAAAAAAAAAATTAAACCATATTTATTGTTGTGGAATACATTATTATTTATTAAACGTCACATTTTCTAAGTGCTACATATTTTTGTATACGAGTTATTAACATTTTATGTTAGTATGTTACCAATCATGGTGTAGATTTTAATATTAAATATATTTTTGAGTTAATCTAATATTAAAACAATAAAATTTACATGTGATTACAACTCACTTATTTAAAAAGGATGTAAAATTCTATAACACATATAAGTACATCACTTTATGAACACATGCAAATCTAAATAAAAGTTTATAGGTACTTACTGCTTTTCATTTTCTGTCTAATAGGTATAAGCAAAGTGAGGCACAAGTCAATGCGAGATACTCTCTTATTTGCATCCCCTGCAGCGACGACCACGTCGAACATAAACTGTAACCGCGGTATATACACTGGTTATGGCTATTGGACAGGGAGGCACACGTCTCACATCTCGGACTATCTCGTGAGTCGTGGCTTAACAAAACATGCGTATGCGAATGTAACGGGGTGATAGTGACGGACGTCGGGATAAGACCGAAAGGCGCTGGACAAAACACACGGCGAGCAGCTGACGGCGGCACGGCGGTACACGTAAAGTGCGCGACCTCCTATCTCGGGTGACAAATAATTAAACGTGTAAAGAACGCGACGTGTCGTCTGACACTCGTCAGAACTACGACCTAACGAAACACAACCGTAACGGAAACGAAGACTTAATATGGCATGACGCGTCATCCGTACGCGTGGTTTGGGGATTCACACGAGGCAACCGTCTCGATCGAAGTGCCTTTACAATGTATCGTGTCGTCCATAATTTAGGACGTCGTGTTAAAATTACAGTGTTTTGATTGGCTGAACATTGTGGTTACCTTATTATTATACCATGTTAACAAGCGTTACCAGAAAGTTGAAAATTGTTCAACTTGTCGTCGTGCGGTAACAGTGGTTTAATTGCTATCAACTACCTTCTATCAAAATAATGGGGCCGCCAAAAACCATGTTAATATGATAAGGTTACATGAACATGATACACGGTTAAGGCGGGTTTCCACTATACACGTTTGCCGTGTACACGAAAAATGTTCAGCTATGTCCAACAACACGGTATCGTGGTTAATCGTGTGGTAACTTAACATAACCAACCAATCACAGCAAATGATTTGTATGCACGTGAACGCGTACGTGTATAGTGGAAACCCTCCTATACATTCGTTAACTTATAGATACCATTCTACCAAGAACGTGATAAAAGAAAACAACATATGGACGACACGATACAGTGTAAAGCCACCTTTAATATACAAAAAATAACGAAACGCGTCATCTGACAAGTGTAAAACGGCGGCTTAACAAAGAGACGGACGTCGGGATAAAACCGAGCGGCGCTGGACAAAACACACGGCGAGTAGCCGATGGCGGCACGGTACACGAAGTGCACGTGCGGAAAACGATGTATATATATGAATTTCAATATTGCGGAAATTCCGCAGCAGATATTCCGCAAGTGTGACTGTGACACCGGTCCAAACGTGGGAGAGAAAAACGTCAGACAGTCGAACGCGCACCATGGTGAACTTGAACAGAGTCGGACCTCGGAACTGTCCGCCGAACACAACGCTTTTCGACCGGGCTGTGTCACCAGCTGTGCTAATGGTACCTATGCCAAAAACTGCAGATTGACCGGTGGTTGACGGCGGTAACTGGTAACACAACCACGACCACGGTGTGCACCGCGGTGATAGGAGAGAGGGTCGAACTTTGCTAATATTATTCCAGTTTTATAGAACTCTGGAAAAAACAAAATCTTAGTGCACCGCTCACCATGCACTTCCAAACGAATCTTTTTGACCTCTTCCATGCGGATTTGCCACCATTACAGATTTCTGCAGGATTTCCGCTGGCACTGGTAGGACAGTCTTCACGGCGTCTTAATCTTGCGGTTGCGGGTCAACTGCGGATCGACCCTCATTGGCATATTATTCATATTTTTTAGCAAATAGTTACAATTTAATAATAATTTAACAATAGTTTTGAAGAATAAAAACCTACGAATGTTCTTAAAATTATACCGGTTTAAGCGCAACGGGATCATAACTCATTGTGTCATGACTTAGATAAGTGAAGTTTAAATTTAAAATCTAAAAACCTTTTTTTTACTCAATTATAATGATTTTTTCTTAGATTAAGAGGCGTATTTACAACAAATTTTTAATATAATATTGTTAATTTTCTAAAGTACGAGCCTATCAAATCACGTTGACGTGGAGTGGTTTTTAGTTTATAAAAATATATTGTCAAATAATAAATAAATGGAATTAATTAAAAATCACTGAAGATGATTGATTTTCGTCAATTCCCACATTAAAATGAGTATTATTAGAATGATTGAAATTAATGACTTCATATTAATGTCATAATTGCCTTTTTAAAATAATCTTGTATCATTTTTATCTGAAAATTAAAGAACCCTCTTGGTCTTTTATAATAATGCTTTAATATTTTATACTACCTATTTGGCAATTTATTTTATATTGCCTAAAGGCGATACAATTCAGTTTATAATCATTTCTTATAGGTTGGACGACAGTTAACAAATATTTTTTGATATTAAAAATATAACATAAATATTTTTCATCAAAATGTTCGAATACAGTTTATGGACACCGTCTATGTACACAATGCTTTATGTGAAAACTATAGGTTATCTATTTACTTTATACGTCTATTTATGGCTGAAGACTCATCTAATAATTGTAAATTAAGGGCTATAAAAGGTCTCTCTTGGCCCATTTTGCACTTTAAACGTACATATTGTGAAATTATCGTAATGGAGTTCCATCTTTTTGTTTACTTTTACTGATATAAAGACGGCTATATATATATATATTTTTATCGACTTACGCCAAATAAATACAGAAACGTTCAAAGTGAAGTTGTAGTGGAAAGCTACATCGGTGCTTGGCTAGAAAAATATGTAGTACCTACCATTCTTATGAGAGAAAAATGAATTGTATTTTACAATAGTCAAAATACAAATTTAGACACGAATACCTATTAACTGGAGGCTTTATAAGTAGAGACACTTTAATACAATGCGAAGATGCTTTAAATGATAATTCGTTCTTAAGAGGGAAATACATTTGGGCTTTGTCGTGATTACAACTCATTAATTTAAATGTTTGTTGAGTTTTATGAAAGCAAAATGATAAACAATTTAAAATATTTATACATAAGGTATATTATAATGATATTATTATTAAGGTTTGAATTTTTTCTGTAGGAAATCAATAAAAGTCGTTGCACATAATAAAATATATAAATATTTTTAATGAACAAAACATAAATTAATAGCCCAAAGTAATGAAAGAAATATATAGCAGATATTTTTATTTTTAAGGAAGATGCAAATAATATAAAAATATACAAAGAAAATGAAATCAAATTATTCTTATGAAATGGTTGAAAAACTCTCAACACCGATCAAAATATTAAAAATGTAATAAGACGGGAGCAACAATTCAGGAAATGAGGTCGTTTTCAAGACGTTTTAATATCCAGTCAGATGAACGTCTAGGTCGTCTCCATTTGATAAATGTCTTTGGCTTTCTATAAAGTTGCCATAACTTCAATAAAAAAAAAGGAAAATGAAAGAAGTGGCCAACTATAGCGTTGAAGTTGTATTAAGTATCAAAAACTTATGGCTGGAGCCTATATTTACTTGCATTAAATGTTAATAGATAATATAAATATTTAAAGTATGAATGGAAAATGTAAAAGTTATGACTCGTTTTAAATAATTTGTCTTCTGGAATAAAAACGGTTCATGATGGTTCAAAAATTACTGAAACGTTTACAATTTCCTTAAGCGCTTCAAGATAAGTATATTTGAGGTACACATTCAAATTTCGTAAACGCTTAATGTTTTTTTGCCCAAATATACCTGCTGCCATTGGCATACCTATATATACTTAATGAAAACAGCATGTGACACATTCATAAACATTTGTTGGTCCGGAATAATACGACACCATTACATAATATACTATTAAAGTAAATTAAATACGAAATATCGACAGTGGACGACAGGTAGGTATATCATAAATTCATAACCACTCAGTTATATTAAACAGTGCAGGCGTGACCCAAATTTGTATTACCCTACGCATATAGTATATACCCTAAGTCCGGAACCGCATTTATGCCACTGTAGTTATCTGTGGTGTATAGGTAGACTACTTGAATATCCTACTCGCTGACAGTATCAGTGGCAATGCGGTCAGAATACACTTCGAGGTCATTTCATGAATTCATAGGACCATATGAAAAATATTCGTAATGGTGCCAGTGTAATGTACGACAGTATTTTAATAACACACAATATGGAGAATGTATTATTGTTATAACTAGCCCAGACAGCAATTGTTTGCTTAATAATATTATTATAACATTATAATCACGAATAATAATATTATTATAATATTATAACCACGAATAATATTAGTATTATAACGTTGTTATAATACTATTATAATATAAAATTATTATCTTTACAAAATGCTGTCTGGGAGTCATACAACCGAGTTGAAGCTATTGCACTTGGTTTTTGTGCTGTTTCGTTTAAAAATTTCTAACGGATTACACACGCTTATTTTATTTTTACAGACTACCAGCTTATTTGTAAGATTTTGATATTCCAATTTAATAAAAATTTTTTTTAGTAAATAGTATTATTTTTTCTCAGACTGCTGCAATTTTTTAAAATTAAATGATTAGAAAATGTCATCAAACAAGAAGATTGCGTACATTGTGCGTTCTTGTTGTAAAATTGGTTTTCTTTTAAACTGAAAATTCTAGTTATTTATGACTTACAGACTTCTGTATCGCGAAACTAACCAGAAATATCCTACTCCACTATCAGAAAACGGTGTCCGATGTCTAACTGATCCAAATTCCAAACAGTTATCCACGTTCATATGTATTAGGTACAATGTAATACCTGGTACATTGTTTCTACTTACTATCTCGTTTTCGAATAAAAATAATAATACAAGTATATTTTATTATATAATATAATACAATAATTTATAATAATAATAGAGTATTATCTGGTGAAGAATATAATATATAACATAGAAATGTCGCGTGTTTCACACCACTTTGCTCAGGTATATAATGTATTATTATACGATATATTTATTATATGACTGCGTAATAAACTTTGGGTACATACAATAAATACTCAAAATACTCATATGAAGCTGTCGCACAATAATTGTTGAACAATATTATTTTATAATCGATATTTTTGGTTTAATATTATTGTTGAAATAGTGTGGTTATAATTAAATATATATTAGGAAGTAGGAACTCAAATGGCAAGTGATTATTATTTCACTGTCCATTTAAAGTCCGAATGGACTCTACTCGCCGATAATACTTTTAAGTACCTAGATAAGCTCTTTAAAATGTTCACAACACTAATATGTTAGCGCCACCGTGGCAACACTGGTACGCCCCGGCGGCTCGACTGTGCTCGGCGACTGGACTGCCTCGTCCTGTTTCGCCGTTACCGCCGGACACGACGTTTGTGTCCGCGGACGAACTGCCGTTTAATTTAAATTACTACCGTTGCTGTGTTTTTCCTGAAATATAATAAACCGTCATATTGTTCAATTCAATTCAGTCTTCTGTTTATTAATCCTGACGCCATTAAAACATAGGCCTAATAAGTAAAGTAAAACGTTCTCTATCATTTCAGAAGTGGGATACGGTCTTTTTTTTAATTTTACCTAGTTACGAGTGCGTAAGAAAAAAAAAGAAGTCCGATTGAATTCCGTATTCGCCTCCCGTCTGCGTCGTTACGCCGAAAATCACGTTTGTGTTTCGAAAAACGCTGTGTGCGTCGTAAGTTCGTTTCCGAAAACGCTGTGTGCGTCGTGAGTTCGTTTCCGAAAACGCTGTGTGCGTCGTGAGTTCGTATCCGAAAACGTGGTTACGTGCCGTTAACGTTAGTTCGAATTTGGAGGTTACGTTGATATCGCTCTTCGAGTCGACGACCTGACGTAACCGCAACCCTGGTAACCGGTACTATCGCACCTTATCAGTGGTCGTTCGATGATTGGATAACCGTTATCAAATCTTTATATCATCACAACATAAACATTATGGATGACAACAAAGATCAGTCGGAACCTAAGGCTCCGGACTATCTCGATTTGTACAACACAGTGACCGAATTGCGAGAGAAATTGCGCCTACTGGAAGCATCGGCGACTTCGAACAATCAACCGCCGACGTCGAACCTGCCAACGCTCGCCTCGACGACGTCAAATGTTCCGGTCATGACACCGTCCGTTGACTACCGCATCCTGCCAGATGTCGGCACGTCTATTTGGACTTTTACCGGTCACGAGACTAGTGCACAAGCGGATGACTGGATCAGCTCCGTCGATGGGTTGGCACAGGTGAACCACTGGCCGTTAAGGTATCGACTCCAGTATGTACGTGCGCATGTGACAGAAGCCGCTCGTAGTTGGTTCTTACTAGAAGTATTTGAGGATTGGGACTATTTTGTACAGAGATTCCGTAGGACGTTCGTGCGTACACTACGAAAGGCAGACCTATGGAGGGAACTTGAAGCACGGATTCAGGCAATGAACGAACCCACAATTGACTATTACTACGCGAAAAT